AACTTAATTCAACTCTAAAAGTTAACTCAAAAAATTAAGATGCCCAAACAATTTTAAGTAGCATAATAATAGGCTAGACAGTTGGCGTGGGAGTTGATCACTCAACAAGTTCTCTATTATCATTTTTTAATAAATGTAAATCTAATCCTCCATTTAGACCTTTATTATCCATTTAGACTTATTTTTCGACAAATACATTTATAAAAATAAATTCTGATTCTATAATTATTATATTCTTCTTCTCCATCCTTAGTTTTTTAGGACTCTCTTGGCATTGGAACTTCATAGGATGACATGAGCTTCAATTGAGGCGCGATACGAAACCCTGTCCAAAAAATTTGATATTTCCTACCCCTAACTAATCCCTTAAACCCTTCACCCCGCCCGCTCTAACTCAACATCTCACCCCTTTAGTTGCACCTCTAAGTTTAAAAAATTTTAAAGTCAAACTTTTGATCTCAAAGCTAACTAAATTTGGAATACAATTATAGGGAGTGGGGGATCAGTTCGGGTCAGGGTAGGGAGATTTAGGGGGTAGGTTAAAAGAAGTAGAAACCGTAAACTTTTTAATGGGGACATAGTAGGAGCCTCAATTGGATCTCAATTTCTTTTTGAAAATTATTAAATTTAAATGGAAAAATCATTTGACGTGATAAAAAAATTCCTTTGACTTGATAATACCATAGTTCTTTTAACAAAAAGCATTTACTTTTAACAAACCTCTTAATAATTTGTTTTTACTACTTGTATGTTTTTATTAATCGTTTGAAAAGATAGAAAATTATAGTCACCTCTTATTTTCTAGAATTTTTAATGTTTTTCTAATATGTGAGTTGCATTTTTATTTAAAAAAAATCCTTAAAAGGGAGTAATTAAAAATGCCATCAAAATACTAAAATAAGAATTTGCCAATGTAAATAACTTTAGAGCACTGGAAATACGTATGAAGCCCCGGGGCTTCAAACTCTCTCTCTCTCTGACACGTCAGTTTTAACTTACACCAAAAATTCACTGGAAATGGGTTTGAAGCCCCGGGGCTTCAAACTGGGGCTTCAAACCTTCATTCTTTACATATTTAAATATACATCTTCTTAATTTTAAATTAATAAATTTTAATAAATTTATTATTTAAATTAATCAAAAAGAAACTAGTGCATTAAAAAAATTACATTCATTAAAAAAATATTACATTCATAAAAAAATACATTCATAAAAAAATTACATTCATTAAAAAATATTACATCCATAAAAAACCAACACTACAAAGAAATTACTAATTATTCGAGCGACTAAAAATATCTTCATTCAAATCCGAATTGTAGTAACATATTGCAAATTGACATAACTCATAAAATAAAAAATACAGTCAATAAAAATAGTATGTTAAATTTAAAAAAACAAAAAGAAATTACATTACTAAAAAAAATTTAAACAAAAAAATATTACATTAAACAAAAAAAATATAGAGTAAAAAAATTATGTTTGTATATGTTTTTTTTGAAAAAGAGAGAATGTAAGGTTTGAAGCCCGTTAAATATTTGAAGCACAAGGGATGAAGCCCTTATGAAGCCCCAAGGGGGCGGTGTTTGCTGCCCCTTTGGCGTTAAAAGGAGCAATAACGCCCCGGGCGTGATGCCCATTGTGCCCTTAGTGTAATGACTATAATATTGTATAAGAGTGTGAATGCTGGTAGTATGTTGGGGGATTATGGTGGTGGACCGCCACTAGGAGTGGTCAATGCTCGCCACTGGCGAGCGGCGGCGGAGCTCCAGTGACAATGGGCATTGTGGCAGTAACACTTTGAACTCCTATTTAGTTCACAAGAAAAAGGTTTTTCCTATTTTCCCAATTTCATTATTTCTTGCTCTTATTTAAGAAATATTTATCTTAGTTTTATATTAATTTGTGAATAAAATAAATTCAAAAAATACGAGATTTTGTACGTGGTTTTGAAAAATGTAACATATTTCCTTCAATAAATAACTCTAGCTATTTGTTTAAGAGTTAAATTTAATCAGTATTACAATATAGTATCTCTCCATGCATACTATTTTAGTGGCATTCTGATGCGGTCCTAAGGTTCATACTCATTTTATCAACCTTAGTACATAATAAATATGAAAGAGTTGAGCTTTTTACAAAATAAAAAAAATCCACTTGTAAACTCAATTAAACCACCCAAACGGAAGCATAACCATTTTAGTCTCTACTAATCCCTTATAAAGATGTCTTATTGGAATGCATTTGCCCCAAAATTGGGACACAATGAATACGTTTTCTAACCGTCTTTTTCCAAATTATTTTGTTTGGCTGAGCTCATAATATAACGAGGTTTTGACCGGGTCCAATGTTCCGACTGGACTAATTAAAAGGACGGATTCTTGGGTATAGGCGTATAGCCACGTTCTTTGAACGTAATAATTCTGGTTTCTGGTTTGAATGCGGGTACAATTGACAAAGGTAAAGAGTGTTAAAAGAATAAAATTCAAGTTTAATTTCTAGCAACAGCGCTATAAGACAAATATACTAAACATATAATCTTTGCAAAATATCAAGGGCAAGTTCTACTTTTTTCATCAATTTATGACCAAATTTCAGTTTACTTCACTTTACTTATGATTAGAATTTATTAAAGGAGCATGCTACATGTACTCCAAAACTTGTACCTCATTTGTACACCAAAGTTATGCACCAACATTTTGATGGTTCATACTAGCACAAAGTGTTGGTGCGTTAACAAAAATTTACACTGACACAAGGTGTTGGTACGTTTAAAAAAATTAGCATTACACCAATACAAAATGTTGGTGCATCATTGCGGTGTACAAAATATGGTATAAATTCTCGGGGTACAACTAGGTGCCATCTTTATTGGCACACCAGGTGGCGGGAATGAAAAACGTGGTACTCATTCTGAAATAACACAATACTCATTTAGAAATAACGACGTACTCATTTTCACAAATTTGTTCAATATTCATTTACGAATAACATAATATTTATTCTAAAACCCCGTAGTACTCATTCTCATATAACCTAGTACACAATCTTAAACAACTTGCTATTCATATGTCGTTGAAATATGGTAAGTGAAAAAGATCTATAGGAAGCCGAAGACCATAGCAACTGGAAGACCAGATCTTCGTATATCAAGCAACGTTCAGATAGCTAATCAGACTTCATCATCCAATTGCGGATCGGACTTCCAAACAACCTCCATAATTGCCAATTGGACCTTCATCTGCAAATCGCCAATCGGGAATCCAACCAGTCCCATCGCGCAGCCTCCATGGCCGATCGATTCGTCCAATCTTCTTGCCGCAATTCTTATGTTCGCCCTAATTAATTGCCGGCTATACGGTTCTTCCCGTACAGCCGGCTATACGGTATAATTTGAGACCCAACAACACCTCTAAATTAAAAGAACTAATGTTTTATTTTTTCTGAAACAGAACACATTTCAAATATAAATTATATCTCGCTTAATTTTTTTAAATTAAAAAATTTAGTTTTTTGTTATTTTTCATTTTTCTATTAAAAGAAAGTAAAGGAAAGAAATTTTTACAAAAAAATTTTCTTTTCTTTTTTAAATATATTCCGTATGAAGTGACATTATATATAAAAAAGAAAAAAGAAACAAAAAAAGGTTTGACCGGAAAAGAAAAAAACTAAACAAATAAAAAAGGGTTTGGACGGAAAAAATAAAACAAAAAATTAGGAAATAAAAAATTTTTATTTTAATTAAAAAAGATATAATTTAATTTTATTAGAATTAGATAAATATTAGAGAATAGTCCATAATATAAATTGTAAAATTATTGCAGTAGAAGTGAAGTACTACGGTGTTAAGTGAGTGATAAAGTGATTACAATATTGATTAGTTGATTTGGACTGAATGATAATGAGCACTATAAGCAGCCTTAAACTTTGATATGATCTTATATTAATTTTTTGATAAATATTCATGAATTTTCATTAATAAATGAATATTTTTATTAAATTCATTTTGATGGTGTAAATTACCTAACCGGGTAAACTATTCTAGACCGGGTCTAGGATTGTTTACTTGATTCGGAAAGTGAAAAGGTAAAAACACACAAATATAACCGGGAGGACTTTAGGTGGAAACACCTTTAGCCCAATTAATATTATAACAGAGAATGCACGGGAGCTTTTACAAGGGAGTTTAGAGAGAATGAATTCGGATCCCCTTCTTCAAGGGTTACAGCAGGTATATATACTAAGCAAGAAGGGAACAGGACGTCGTGCGCCCATGCTGGGGCACGTTCTCGGATGGTAGGAGGTGATGGGCTTCGTCCTGTAGCTGCCTTGTCATCTTGCGAGGAAGATTACTTCCCTTGTCGCGTACTGGCTTGGACAGATTCCTTCAGCATCTCTATTGATCTTCGAGTAATACTTGTCGCTACAATCCAAGTTCTTTTGGATTCTTCCTGCCGACACCCTACAATCCTCGGAAACTGCACCGGGTAGTTCTTGAAGGATGGATTAGCTGACTTTGAAGGATGAATTAGACGCCAGGGTGGTTTGACCGGTATACAATTAAAAGCGTACCGGTCCACTTTTTTGATCAGTCAAGCTCCTTCCTCCTGACAATTGTGATCTCTCTTTCAATAATGAACTTTGACCGTTTAAACATTTGGACATTTCCTTTGACCGATCCAGGGTGGATTACACTCATCAATAAGCCCTCCACTTCTCGGCCATGTAAATATAATGGGCGGGAAGTAGAAACCTTGAAAGATGGATCCGAAATTCGAATTTTTATCTTTTCCCGCTCGAAATTTTCAAATTCAAAATTTGAAAAGTGTCGGTTTTGACACAAGTTGCATGCTGGACATGCCTCCATCATGCCCGTTCGCCTTCCCCGGTGTAATGATGGCGCCGCCTGACGCGGCGCGTTACGAGGAGGCCACGTCACCCTTTTCCAATTCTCCTTCGCCTATATAAAGACCTTCAGCCCATTCATTCCTTCACTTTCTCTCGCGCGATTCTTCTGAGTTTCACCGGTCAAGTTCCCAGTTCTAGCCTTCCAACCCTCCGAGCCAAGTAAGCTTCCCCTCTTTCTTCTATTTCTTTTCACGGTCATGTCTTCCCCTGGTAGTCATAGGACTTCATCCTCAGATGACTACTCATCTCAGGATTCCACCTCCTCTTCTTCTTCGACCGGGTATTCATCACCTGATTCTGTACCCAGACCAAATCCCAACCCTTCAGTTCCTGAGCCGGAACCGGTCAATCAGATGCCTGGTCAGGTTTTTGCGGAGAGCGATGAACCGGTCAATGTTGAACCGGCTCCCTATGACCCCAAAGCTGAATCTTGGGTGCAGTGGGAGGAAAGGTTGGAAACATCCGGTTACTCTCCCCTCCCCACGTTTTATGTTACAGATATTTACCCTCACGTTTCCAAAATAACTTTAAACAAGGCCCGTAGGAACCTCCCTGAGGGCTATGTTCTCGAATACGATGAGAACTGGCCTAACATTATCGAACCTCACCTGGAGGATAGGATAGGTTTCCACATAACTTCCTTGGAGGGTGGCATCGTTTTTCCTCTTCGCCCCCTCCTAGTCGAGCTTTGTCACTGCTTAAGGATTCTTCCCGGGCAGATTACTCCCAATGCCCACCGGTTGCTCAATTCTTTTGTTAATATCTCCCACCACCTCCGCATCGACCCCTCCCTGCGTCTTTTTCTCTACGCCTTTGAGGTTCGCCCCGGGAAACCTGGTTGCGAAGGTTTCCTTTATTTCAAGGGGCGGAACAATCGGAAATTCATTTCTGACCTTCCACAAAGCAACCGGTTGTGGAAGGAAAAATTTGTTTTTATAAGATTCCCCCCTTCCGTTACTCCTCTAGCCGGTTTAAGGTGGAGTGAAAACCTTCTTAAACAAGAGTATACCGAACCGGTATCCACTCCCGACTTAGAAGAGAGTCTGGAGAAGCTTCTGAAGGGTGACCCCCTTACCGGCCAGAAGTATCACTACGGGAGCTGGGTATGGAGGGTTCAACCGGGTGGCGAGGGTACCTCCTAAGCCCATGAAGCAGCGGGGCACGGGGTACCCTCCCCGGGCAACACTGCAGAGGCTGAGAACCAGAGTCACCCAGGTATCCCTCACTACTATTTCTCCTTTTTTTTGTTTCTACCAATCGTCGTTTGATTACATATAATCTTTCTCGTTTTGCAGATATGAACTTCCGGCCCTTTAGCATTCTGAAGAAGACCGGTGCGTCTTATTCCGCTGGCCCGCTTACCTCTTCTGCGAAGACTGTCCTGGTCCAACAGGAAACTGTTGAGATCATTGATGAGGAGGAAACTCCTCAGACCGGGAAGGTCCCTATGAATCCTCCCCCCAACAAGGGGAAGACAAGGACGAAGAAAGTGGCCACCTCCCATCCCAACGCGAAGAAGAGAAGGGGAGAGAGTGGACCGGCTATTGAGTCGTTGGGAGAGCTCTGGGTCAAGATGGGACTAAAGCTGAAAGAGGTAAGTTCTAACCGGTGCAGGCACTTCTCTTTATTATTCATTTACCCATACTAACTCGTTTACTTTTCGTTTTGTAGATTAGCGAGGTTGGGCCTGATGCCGCGGAGCTGCTCTCCGAGGATTCTCCCTCCTAGTTACTCCAGCTGGAGGAAAAGCTGAAGAGGGTTGAAGCTCATAACCGGGAGCTTCAAGACCTCACAACCCGGTAGCTTGACGAGATGGCCAACCTCTCAGCGATTGCCGGTAGGACGAACGCGGAGATCCTCCAGCTGAAGGAGGAGAACACGCAGCTGATGGGGGAGATCTCCCAATTGAAGGAGGGGGCTGAATTGAAGGAGAGAGAGTTCCCTGGTCGGGCTCGCCAGTGGATGGAGGAGAACATTGTAGAAGTTGTCCATGTCCTTACTTCTTCTGAGGAAAGGACCATGGAAGGCTTCAAGTTGCTATACCGGGAGGAACATGGAAAGGAAATGATCACTCAGATCGGCTCCTAGTATTACAATCATTTGTAGAATTTGATGAAGTAACCAATCAGCCAATATCTCATGTGTGGCTTCCTGGTCTCTTTTCTGACCAGACATGAAACTATAGGAGCCGATCTGAGTGATCATTTTCTTTCCTTGTTCCTCCCGGTATAGCAACTTGAAGCCTTCCATGGTCCTTTCCTCAGAAGAAGTAAGGACACGGACAACTTCAACAATGTTCTCCTCCATCCACTGGCGAACCCGACCAGGGAACTCTCTATCCTTCAATTCAGCCCCCTCCTTCAATTGGGAGATCTCCCCCATCAGCTGCGTGTTCTCCTCCTTCAGCTGGAGGATCTCCGCGTTCGCCCTACCGGCAATCGCTGAGAGGTTGGCCATCTCGTCAAGCTACCGGGTTGTAAGGTCTTGAAGCTCCCGGTTATGAGCTTCAACCCTCTTCAGCTTTTCCTCCAGCTGGAGTAAATGGGAGGGAGAATCCTCGGAGAGCAGCTCTGCGGCATCAGGCCCAACCTCGCCAATGTACAAAACGAAAAGTAAACGAGTTAGTATGGGTAAATGAACAATAAAGAGAAGTGCCTGCACCGGTTAGAACTTACCTCTTTCAGCTTGAGTCCCATCTTGACCCAGAGCTCTCCCAACGACTCAATAGCCGGTCCACTCTCTCCCCTTCTCTTCTACGCGTTGGGAGGTACCCTCGCCACCCGGTTGAACCCTCCATACCCAGCTCCTGTAGTGATACTTCTGGCCGGTAAGGGGGTCACCCTTCAGAAGCTTCTCCAGACTCTCTTCTACGTCGGGAGTGGATACCGGTTCGGTATACTCTTATTTAAGAAGGTTGTCACTACACCTTAAACCGGCTATGGGAGTAACGGAAGGGGGGAATCTTATAAAAACAAATTTTTCCTTCCACAACCGGTTGCTTTGTGGAAAGTCGGAAATGAATTTCCGATTGTTCCGCCCCTTGAAGTAAACGAAACCTTCGCAACCAGGTTTCCCGGGGCGAACCTCAAAGGCGTAGAGAAAAAGACGCAGGGAGGGGTCGATGCGGAGGTGGTGGCAAATATTAACAAAAGAATTGAGAAACCGATGGGCATTGGGAGTAATCTACCCGGGAAGAATCCTGAAGCAGTGACAAAGCTCGACTAGGAGGGGGCGAAGAGGAAAAACGATGCCACCCTCCAAGGAAGTTATGTGGAAACCTATCATATCCTCCCGGTGAGGTTCGATAATGTTAGGCCAGTTCTCATCGTATTCGAGAACATAGCCCTCTGGTAGGTTCCTACAGGCCTTGTTTAAAGCTATTTTGGAAACGTGAGGGTAAGTATCTGTAACATAAAAGGTGGGGAGGGGAGAGTAACCAGCTGTTTCCAACCTTTCCTCCCACTGCACCCAAGATTCAGCTTCGGGGTCATAGGGAGCCGGTTCATCCCTCTCCGCAAAAACCTGACCGGGCATCTGATTGACCGGTTCTGGCTCAGGAACTGAAGGGTTGGGATTTGGTCTGGGTACAGAATCAGGTGACGAATACCCGGTAGAAGAAGAAGAGGAGGTGGAATCCTGAGATGAGTAGTCATCTGAGGATGAATTCCTATGACTACCAGGGGAAGACATGACCGTGAAAAGAAATAGAAGTAAGAGGGGAAGCTTACTTGGCTCGGAGGGCAGGAAGGCTAGAACTCGGAACTTGACCAGTGAAACTCAGAAGAATCGCGCGAGAGAAAGTGAAGGAATGAATGGGCTGAAGGTCTTTATATAGGCGAAGGTGAATTGGAAAAGGGCGACGTGGCTTTGACCGATTCTGGGTGGATTACACCCATCACATTTAACTTTTCAACTTAAAATGAATAGTTCCGTAAAAGTGATAGAGAGGCGAGGCAAGAGGGTGATAGCATTGCAAGTGTTTTGGACGGGGCTAAAAGAGAGAGGAATGATGGTGTGACACCAAACTGGGCTGGGCGGGGATGTGCTACATTGTAAATGGAATTATGTTTCCCAATCTTTTGTCCCAAAAAGAGCCATATTCAAACAAAACAATCTAATTTTTCTAATGTTTGTCAAGTTTTGTTTTTTTGCATTCATTTGTATTAAACATTTGACCTATAATTGAGTACAATATTTACTAATATTTTGAAAATATTTTATAATATGAATATACAAGTAATAAAATAATTTTTATATCAATATTTAGTATCATTTTTATTGTGGTCAAAGTTTGCTAATTTTGAGCGACTAAGTCAAAATTGATAAATACTCAGAAATGGATGGAGTGGCATAATTTTTATTTAGTTATAAATTATAGGTCATTTTGAGTTTACTATAAAAAATCAAAACTCGAGGAGAGTAATTTCTAAGACAATTAAAAATAAAAATGTCTACCTTCTTCAAGATTTTTTATGAAACCTGGACTTTACTTCGTCTATACTCACATTAACACTCAACTAATGGAAAAAACTACCAATTTGGAAGTATATTTAGTTCGTATGAAAAAATCATATTACGTGTAATCAATTTTTTATATTTAGTTCATTAAAAAATCTTGAAGAAGGTAGACATTTTTATTTTTAATTGTCCTAGAAATTACTCTCCTCGTTTCAAAATGTTTATCAAGTTTTAATTTTTTACAATCAACTCAAACTGACCTATAATTTATAACTAAATAAAAATATTTTATTGGAAAAAATATAATGCTTGTATTATATTTATACATGTATATAATACGTGTATTATAAGTTTTTCGTATGAAAAAAACATACTTGGAAGTATAATACGCATATTATACGTACGGTTGTATAATGCGTATATTGCATGCGAATAAGCTAACAAAGTTATAAAGAACTTAATGTGCATACTGGTTGATTTAAGTGGTATTGAAATTAACATAATACATTTCTAATGGATTATGCTTAGATGCAACTTGAAATTCACAAATACGGAGTATATAAGTTCTTCCATGATGGTACTTAGTTTAGACCACCACTAATGTGAGAATTGTCTGAGATTATAATAAATAATCGGCTAGGAATTTTTATGGAGGATATTAATCATTATTTTTACGAATGAAGCACCGTAAATATCTGAATCGGTACAGTGGCTTTCATGGCCACTGAAAAAGCAATGTCCATAAAATCGGACACTAATATTATTTAGTTATTTAGAACATCCCTTTCCGTACATTGCACGGATAAATTACTAGTTAATTGAATAAGAAGATCATTTTAAAACAAATTGAATTATCAACACAAGGTCAACGTAAGATTTGAAACTCGATGCATACCAATGTGTAAGCTAACTCTCATTTAAAAAAAAGTAGAACACAATATTTGTACGAGTCGAAAATAGAAGTTGGTTTTGAACTTGTACACATTTTTACCACAATCCACTCTAAAAGCATAGAGTAAAAAAAGATTTTTTTATAAAAAAATATATTGAAGGACCGGTTAAAACAAGGGAACGTGAACACTGGGAAGAGTAATATCACAGGGAGTACTAAAAAACAACTCTCTTAAACAACAAACGGTGCTTTTACCAAAACAAACGGTCCGTCCAAATTGTGACAAAACGAAGAAAAATGCTAAAATGGTAAAATTCGGGAGAGCAAAAGCGGCAATATAGAGCAACAAAAGGGTTAAACAAAGAGGTTGGGCCGGGATGCCTTGTAGGTGGTCTTGAGCTTCCTAGATGGTGGCCTAACCTTCTTAAACACCAAAGGAAACTTGATCTTGGAGTTATGGAACTGTTTGGTGGACTCTCTCTTGCATAGCTTCGCAGGAATGGTAGCCGTCTTGATGATCTGGATGCAGTGGTGGCGAACCCTGTGGCGAGAGGCCAACTCAGTGTACATCTGATCAACCGCACCGTTCAAGGTCGTATCACGAAATTCCTTGTACATGTTGTGGTAACCAGTTCTGCTTTGGTACCTCAGCCATATCCCATAGTTCTTGATTGTGGTTGGTTTCTTCTCAAAGATCTACAAACATGAAAACAGAGCAAAGATGAATTCCCAACACCGTACGATTGCATATTATCTTCTTGGCAATGGCAAAATAGTAAAAACACAAGCGGCCACAACAGAGGATCAATATCTGAAATCTAGATGCGCAGAACAAAATAGAAATTAGTAGTTCAAAAATAGGGTGTTGCTACAGCCGCACAAACAAGAACATGTATTAGTGTGTGTGCGTGTAAAAGGGAAGGGACAAGGTTAAGATCAATTTAGCATTTTTCTATCCAAGAGTACATGCATAAGTTTTTCCATGCTAATGAGGTACACAAGACATAAGGAGAGATGAATATGTACCGTAACATACTCCATCCGTCCACTTTTCCTTTATAAGAGTTTAAGAAAAAATGTGGTTAAATGTAAATAAAATGATAGAATCCATATTATCAACTGAATCTTTATAGTGAAAATGGTGAAATGGGGTGATTATTTTAAGCACGGAAAAGACAAAGTAGATAAAAAAAGAACAAAAAGGCATTTGTAGGAGGCAAATTCTGGGGAACACAGAATTCCCTTCTTCTCACGGTTCCTCAGTTCAAGCCTTTGGAGACATGAGGTGATTCACATGGGGTTTACACCATTCCCATTAAAACAATGAATTAATGTTCTTGCAAACATGAGTTATTCAAATTCCCAGTAAATTCATTTCCATCCCAAACAATATCATCAAAGTATAGACAAAAAATTAAAAAAAAATCAATTTGGTCGACAAGAAAAGGTGTATAGCCAAAGAATTCTCAAGAGATTGAAACTGAATCAAACTGCAATTGCATTAACCCAGTAACCAAAGAGCTTAAATGATCTCACTGCCGGGTAGAAAGATCTGATGTAAAAATTATCCGGTACGAGTGTCTACATCAAATTCTACACAATCCTTAGGCATATGACCAGAAGATTAAGGTCTACTATGAAAGTCTAGTATCTTTACCTCGTTGATAGCTAGGACTTGGCCATTCGACTTCTTCACCTTCTTGAGCTTCCTCAAGAAATACCTACGGATAAAGTTAAAAGGATAACAAGAAACCTCAACATATAGACTGAAACTGACAACACACAAACCTAAAATTCACAGGACGAGAAAGGGAAGGGCATTACCAGAACTTAGACTTTGCGCAGACCTCATTGGTGGCCCACAGCTTCATGCGGTACATCTTCGGGTGCTCATCGGACTCCGATGGGAGACCTCTCCCGACCACCTGGTACTGATGGAACTGCAATCAAGCAAAATCTGATAGTTACAATCTGCAATACAGATTTGACTGCGTATCGAGAAGAAGAAAAGGAATGCAGATAAAAGATCGACGATCTTACTCTGTGATTCACCATTTCTAGATCACGCGGCGCCGCCAGAAAACTCCCTGCAATTTCTCTGCTTCTTCTTTCTCCGCCGCGAGAGAGCACTCGTGTTAAGGGTTTTGAAATATAGGCCTTCCTAAACCTACTTCCCTTATTACAATGGGCTTTATGGGCCGATGTGGGCTAAAGAGCTAGGTTAAACCCGTTAATAGAAACTTTGTTCCTTTCTTTTTAAAATTAAGATAATAGAAATTTTTATGAAATAAGAATATAAAAATTTGTAATTTTTTTTTGAACCAAACGCAAGTACAAAGTGGCCAATTGCACAGGGCCCCTTAAAATTTAGGGCACCATATTTTTAAATTTGTTAATAAATTTAAAGAAAAGTATTCTAAAAATATAAAAATTTGTATTTTTTTTTTGAACCAAACGCAAGTATGTACTGTACTAAATTCCAAATAACCAAGATATAGCCAAATGATAAAAAACAGTATCAAGCTGAAGCAACTAGACTATGCAGATGCTTTTAGAGTTAAGGTAAGGGGACACTAGAAATGTGATCCAATTAGTAGCTTCCTACCCTTAGTATGTGTTATTCTTATAAATCTCTCATTCCTACATTTTAAGGTACAGTAATAGCAAGTAGAGAATATAGCACACAAAACTTTTCTTATTTTTTAGGCTTCATTTGCATTAATTTGATGAGAATATGCTCAATTGTGGAGCAACGTGATGGTGTAAATTATTTAACCGGGTAAACAGTACTAGATCAGGTCTAGAATTGTTTACTAGATTCGTAAAAATGAAAGGTAAAAGCACACAAAATGATCGGGATGACTGTTGGTGGAAACACTTGTAGCCCAATTAATATTATGAATATAAGAGAACGCATGGGAGCTTTTACACGAAAGTTTTAGAGAGAAGAAATCAGATCCCTTCCTTTGAAAATTACAGTAGTATTTATACTAAACTAAAGGGACAAAGCGCCGCTCAGCCACGTCAGGGCACGTTCCTTGCTGGTGGGAGCTGATTGCTTCTGTCCTCTAGCTACCTTGTCACCTAGCGAGGAAAGGTGGCTTCTTTGTCATCTAGTATTCAGGATGGATTATTTCACGTATCTCCAGTGATCTTCCGTTGATCATGGTCGCTATAGTCCAAGCTCCTTTAGATTCTTATTTGCCGATACTTTCTAACCCTAAAAACCATACCAGGTGATTCCTGAGGGATGAGTTTACTGAAACTGAGGAATGAATGAGGCGATAAAGTAGTTTGACCGTTACACTATCCGAAGTATATTTTGGTCAATCGAGCATCCTTTTACTGACGATTAAGGTCTCCCTTCGAAGAATAATCAACTTGACCGGTCAAACTTTTGGATCTTTCCTTTGACCGGTTTTGGGTGTAATACACCCATCACAACCAAAACACAATTGAGCCCAACCGCTAATCTTATTATACAAAGTTTGAGAGAACACACATTGGTAAAGAAGATGTTAATAGTCCTCAATAGCATCATAGCAAATTAAAGGGGACATTGAATATCAATATAAAAGAATTTAGCCATTTTAGTTTTAGTTTGAAACATATCTCTGCAAACTAGATAGTGAATAAATTTGTACTTTGGGATAGAGAAACTATTCCAACACATACAGGGTGTTTGGCAGTGCGCTGCTTTTAATAATTCACCTTCTGATTTGAGTGGAAGTGATTTTACTCTGTTTTGTATGTCAGCTTCTGTTTTTCACCACCACTTTTTTGTACATAGAACACCGTTTCGGAGAAGCATGTATGAGGTGCTTTTGCTTTCAGATTTTGAGTAAAATTACTTTATCTAGAAGTTAATCACTCTCAAACATCCTCATAGTATACCAAATAGTGGATTGTTGCTAACCCAACAGCCATTGATAGCCCAAGTGCCCAACATTAGAGTGTAAGCTTGATCACCAATATCTGATGGGTAGGCCATTAGGCCGTGTGGTTCAGGCATGGCCCAGCATTTGTGTGATCCAAGGGAAACAGCGAAGATCAATATTCTGACAGCGTAGCATTTTTGCGAGGCCTAATTTGCTGGGCAGGTATCGTGGGCCTTTGGCTCGGCCCAACTGCACACAAGAAAAGAAAATCTCACCTTATCCCTGATTGAAAGCGTCTGATCACGGATGAGGCATGATGGCTTGGCTCAGCATCAATAACGAAGGAAGACCATTGAACTACCATGTTTAGCACTTCATGTAATGTCCCAAAACATAGCCTAAAAGTTATTTTATGATAAAACTGTATTTTGACCCAACAAAGTTATAACGCCCCAAAACATACCCTAGAATTATTAATAAATAAATAATCAATTAATCAAATTTGTTTTGATTAAAATAAATTATCATTGGGCTTTGGGCTGATATGAAATGTGTTTTGACATCCAATATCAAAATCTGGATAAGTCTCATAGAGATAAATCCAGTATGTGGACTACTTGTGTGGTGTTGATTGAGAACCTGAGTACAGACCCAAATCAAAAGTAAATAAAGAATTTGTTTAGAATGTAAATATTGAAATGATTTCTTAAAATGAATCATGAGAATAACCGATATGAATTAAATGAGAGAACCTTTTATGAGAAAGGTCAATTAAACCAATTTTGACTCTGTCAAAGTCAAACACCCAAAAATATGATGTCGGAAAAAGTGTTACAAATAAATATAAAAATTATATCGTTGGATAGGGATTAACTATCCGATCGCAAAGGCGCAAACGGAATTCAATTCAGAGAAAGTTTGATCAAAAAGTGTTCCTCGACTGGGACCAAATTAGTCCCAATCAGGGACTTGCGTTTGAAATGGGAAGAAATCACAGCCCGCTCCACCCAGCCACCGAAACAGTCGAAGGAGAGCTATCAACTTGTGTCTTCTTCCTCGTCCTTCTCCTATAAAAGGCTATCATAACACCCTCCATTCTTTACCATTTCTTACAAAGTTTCATTCTATTCTGTTGCTGAGAGTGAGAAGAACGCAGTGGTGCTGTCGTATTGGTGTGAGGTCGCCGGAGTTGAGGGCTTTCGTCGCCGGAAGTTTTGCCGGAAAATCTTTAAAACCTTCATTTACCTTCGAGGTAAGCCCGTAGATATATCTAAAGATTAGAATGTTCATATAGGTTGTGTTTACGTTCATAAATGGTCATTTGGTTGAGTTTTGTGTTTGACATGTTTGAATAACCAAGAATCATAAACCTTGAATTTGATGTTAAAAATATGTTTTAATGGTTCTAAAATGATCTATGAACCTTGGAAAACATTTCTATATAGTTTAATTGATGTTTGGTAACTAACATTGATATTTCCAAAAATGGACCGAAGGTAGAAGACGATGAGTAGTAACAGGCGAACCGATCCAGGAAGCTGGATCGATCACCGTAGTAGAAGAACTCCACTGGGTGGATCGATCATTTCCTGTGGATCGATCACCTGGAGAGAAATTGTGAAGAGGATCGATCACCCGACCTGTCTACTCCGAGAATGCTTCTGAAAATGTTATTTTTGAACCCAAAAATCCTATTTTTGATACCAATTAATTATGAACAATATAATTATGATTTTGTACAATAAAAATGATATTTTTGACACATAAAACCTTATGTGATGCATGACGGTAAGTTCGGGTGTTAACACCCGAGACTAGGTCGCTAATTGTTATTAAATGTTATGTTGAATGATCATTATGATGAATTACTATTGTGGCCAATTATGAATGATAAACCTACTGATTAGAATGATTATTGATGATTAAATTATGATTAAAAATGAATATAATGGTGATCATGAAAACGGTGTATACTATTAAGGATATCTAGAAATACTCTAAGATATATCCCCTTGTATATATATTGGTGATAATTATTAAGAATATCTAGAAGAACTCCAAGATATACCTCCTTGACCAATTCATAATTCGGTACGAGATCTAGAACGGATATCACCCACCTGACAAATCACTGTTCGGTTGGTACGTAATCCACATGACTCATAGGGTGGATTATCGATTCTTGTGTTCTGCATTAAACTATTTATAGTTTAAGGACCTGGTTAGAAATATTTCCTTAGACTAGGATTAACTAAGAGCTTGTTATGAAATGATCTGGCCTTAGATTAAGAATAATTTAAGAGCACTGTTGAGATATTGGATAATGTATTTATTGTTAGAATAAGTGCCCTTCACTAGAGGGGGGTGAATAGTGAGGCACGAGAATGTTTATAAATTTTCGCGGAATAAAAATCGCAGGGATAAAGTAAAGAGCGGAATAAAAAGGAGTAAAGGAAGCACACCAAGATTTACCCTGGTTCACCACAGCTTGTGGCTAATCCAGCCTCCCGAGAGACTCTCTCGAGCTACACTACTTCCGTTAAGCTTACGGGTGCTTAACAAACCGTTACAACCTGAGAACTCGAGTCCCACGAGCCTCAATACACTTGCTCGGAGATGCCGCACTCCAAGACTTCAACCCGAAGGAAAATACCTTTCCTTCGTACAACCAAGGGAAACAAGCTTCCCTAAACGTGTTTACAACACTAAGAACACTCAAGAACAAGACTCTCTTTAAGAGTATATGTTGAGTAAACTATATACGCTCAAAAACAACTCAAACTTCACAAATTGGCTCTAGAAAGCTATGGAAAATAATGTTGTTTGGATTCAATGATAATATGAATAAAGTGAAGTGAATTGATGAGAAAAGCAGACCCAAACACCCCTTTTTATAGTGCCAAAATAGGCTCCAACGGACCAATACATTAAAGGGGTGATTGGCCTTATTTATGGGATTGAATAAATTTGGGATCTGCAGGATATTGGCTTCTCATCGATGTTTGGAACTTACCCATCGCTGGTAAGCCAATTTTCCTTCAGTTTTGAAGCCAACGGTTACCTACCCATCGATGGGTAGATGCTTCCCATCGCTGGGTGGGAGGTTGACTTTCAAATAAGGAAAGAATCAGCCTTAAATGACTCGCAACGGTCATGCCTAACCATCGATGGTTAAACCTTCCCATCGCTGGGTTCCCATCGATGGGTAAAGCTTCCCATCGCTGGGTAAGGGCATTCTGCCTTGTGGTAATGTTGCACCAAGGCTTTAACATCGATGGGTAGAACTTCCCATCGCTGTTTGGCATGGTTCTGGA